TTTTAGAATACAGTTTGATTTCTATAAGAAATTGTACGATATTACATATCGTGAAAGATTTATTTCATTTTGAATGGTGTATTGTTGGTAATTTTACTATAAATATACATTATTGGTAATTATTTTGTATAAAAATATATTGCTGGTATATTTACTATAACATGTATTTTATACCTTCATAGGATTTTATTTTTTTTGGAGGTTTAATATTTGCCCAAGGCTGGGACCCTAACAGGTGCTAGCACATCGAGTTATGGTGGTCTTAGGAACAACAGGAATTAATACGGGGTACAATGCACATCAAAACCTAAAATCTCCCAATTAGAGAATTTATGTCGGGTGTATTTCATAGACAGACCCAGGACTCTAAATTAATAGTGTTTCTTGTGTTGTTGTCAATTCTCAAGAAAAAACAACTGTATTAATTCACTTAGGTTGTATTACAATTCTAATCAACGCTGGTTAGAACAATAAAAGTTGCTGAGGAGTGATGGTAGTTAAAATAAAAGTGGTGTAATAGAAAACAACATCATTTTGACACTCCATTTTTTTTCGAAGCTCTATGTTTGCCTATATATATATATATATATATATATATATATATATATATATATATATATATATAGTACAAGACATGGTACTATGATGGAGAATATGGTCATTGCATGGCACAAGCATCTGCCGACTTTAAAAAAACAATTTACTTGTGTAGGTTGTTCAGTAAAACAATAAACTTAACACTCATCCAGCATTCTCGACTGGAGAATCCATCCATCCGTCAAATTTATATATATATATATATATATATATATATATATATATATATATATATATATATGAAGAAATATAGTCTTAATGTGTGCTATCTTTATGGGATAGAGTGCTCAATATCAGAAATAGAGCGTCTGAAAATATAAAAGTGAACATTGAATTCAACACTTAGAGGCGACAGTCTGTTTCATGCTAGACGCAATCGTCAGAGCACGATAAATATCTGACGATATCAGGCCTGACTGTCGCCTCTATGTGTTGACTTCAATCTTCACTTTTATATATATATATATATATATATATATATATATATATATTAATCATATATCGGTCTCCTAAGAAAGGCAATAAAGCCAGTAAAACGCAAGGTGTTGCAGCGTGTGGAAGAATTAGGAACAGAAACATTAATAATGAGCAGGAAGAGGAAAGAGTAATCGGGAGGACAGTAGATAGCGATTGACATTGCATTTTAATTTTTACAGATTAATGTTGGCTGGAAACCATGGAGCCGGAACGGAGTTCCACATGCGAGAAGTGCTAGAAAAGAAACTGTTATCATAGAATTTACGGTTACATCTAGCCATATCGAAGAGCTTATCCGAAGAATTATCATGAGAGCATTTATAAAAACGGCCCAGTGTGGCAACCTTACGGTGGTAGGTAAGTGACAGATCAGACCATATATATATATATATATATATATATATATATATATATATATATATATATATATATAAGAAAATATACTCTTAAGGTGTGCTATATTTATGGTATAAGGTGCTCAATATCAGAGATAGAGCGTGTGTAAATATAAACGTGAACATTGAAGTCAATACTTAGACGTGACAGGCTGTTTCATGCTAAACGCAATCATCGCCTCTAAGTGTTGACTTGAATGTTCACTTATATATATATATATATATATATATATATATATATATATATAGGTGTTTTGGGACGCATCTTTAGGTCGTCCTAATTTAAAGACGTTAATGTTACGCGGCATACGTAAAATGTTAATCCCTTTTCTCTATCAAAATAATTAAACATGGCAGAATATGGCAGCTTTAATTCTTTCACAGAATGAAAAGGCATTTTGTACTTATGACATCAGCCGCTAATCACTTCGATTTGGAGATAACAAGAAAATTTAAAGTGGCCAGTCGAATGGCAGGAAGGATAAATCACTCTACACTCAATTCACAAAAATCCGCACGGTGATGTGCCCCAATGTTCACAGCGTCTGTGACGGCCTTAGGGGTCGTGAGCAACGAATGGCCTGTGAAAAGGTCCTACTTTTTTTCAGCAGGTCCTTAGTGTCGATTCTACCGCCAGCATCAAGATACTGGACATAATGATCAGGCACCGCTTTGAGGCATTGGCCATACGTGTTCCAGCAAGACGCTGCCCACATGTCACACATAACCCAGAAGTGGTTAGCCAAGAATTTTCCAGATCATTGTCAACCACACTATGTGGCCTCTTGGTTGTCTTAATTTTAATCCTTTGATCTACTTTGTCTGCGACGTTGTCCAGACAGAGACTAACCATCGGTTCCATATTAAAAAGGAAGCGTTGAAAGCCGTCATTGTTGGCACAATGGTTAACATGATTCTAAAAGTCGAGTTTGAGAACAGTTGAACACTGCGTTAGTCACTTCGGAGTTCCAAAAATGGATTGTCCCCTCAAGTGTTTCCACAGTCCCAATACAAAAATGCTCATAGAATTATGTAAAATATTGTCGTACTACTGAAAAAGATAACATAACAGGCAATCTTCATTACGACAGACATTAAATCGAAACTTGAACTGAAAATATAATTATTCATTGTAATGAAAATTATAATAAATTTCTTGCATAAACATATCTTGTAAATTGTAGGGGAAACACACCAATACAATAATGGAGAAAAGTTTTATTCAACAAAAATAGGCACAATATATTTACATGAATAGAAAGATATTACATTAGCTAAACTCATAATTACAGGACTGAAAGGGCAATACTAATACTTATACTAATAATAATAATTACAATATAGACATAATTATATATATATATATGTGTGTATTTTATATATATATATATATATATATATATATATATATATATATATATATATATATATATACATATCTATATATATAAAATACATATATATATATAAAATACATATATATAATATAAAAATATAAATCATAAATATTTACCTTCGTAAATGCTATATATATATATATATATATATATATATATATATATATATATATATAGGCTGAAACACTAATATTCCATGGTTATGATTTATTACATTGGAATCGTAATCACGATCCAATTCATCAGACCTACTAATTAAAAAAGAAACCGGAAATATTCTTACTCTGTCTTGGACATTGAAATCTACCTGGATTCTATTTTCTTGGGAATTTCTGTATATATATATATATATATATATATATATATATATATATATATAAGTGTACATTGAAGTCAACACCCAGAGGCGACAGTCTGTTTCATGTTAAACGCAACAGACTATTGCTCATCACAATGAAAACATTTCCGCAAATACAAAAATAATAGATTTCTTACATCTACTTTGTCATGCACGTATCGTACTTTAGATACTGTACACCCGTCTTTGTTTACAATTGAAAGGCCCGCCACCAAACGGTCACTTTGAGAACTAATACGATTTGTTCCGCTAAGCCCAAATTTTGAAATACATCCCTGACGATTTGGAAGTTTTTTTTGATGCGGTGTGCGTAGATGAAAGTTTTGTCTGCTGTATATATATATATATATATATATATATATATATATATATATATATATATATATATATATATGGCCATATTTTTATGAATGTCAATGTCTTAACAATAAAAATGTTACTAAGCAACTGATTATGGTAAACTTTCAGCTTGTAATATTTAACCTAATTAAGAAATATCAATAACTTGTTTGGGGAGTGTCTTTTTTTTATGTAAAAAAGTACAACGCAAATCTTTGAATGAATTAAAATCATATAATTCATAGAAACATTTCTGAATAACACCATATCCCACGTACCTGAATAAATTCTTATTTTCTTATTTTACATATTAATTTGATCTGCTTGACATGCTATAGCCTTCGTCAATCTTTCAACCATTTATTTTGTTAACTATTTCTATTCTATTTACATTAGAATTTTACATTAAACTTTCTGCTCTTGTGAGAATAGAAATCATGTCTAACGAATATGATAAACACTGGGACAGTGTTTGACAGTAAAAGATTGCACTAATTTACGTAAGTTTCTTTTTGTCGTTATATCCAGTAATTTGTTAATGACGTGATTTTGACCAACGGTTATTGCCCAATAAAATTCCAACAACATCAACATCATTCTGCAATCGAGATTCTTTTACAATCTATTGTTGATGACGTAATATTAATTATAGCTTGTCTTTACTGGACGGCGCCTTCAAAATTAGGCCGCTATAATTTTCACGATCATTCTTGTGATAGCTCTCATTTCCATTCTCTCTGTTTGGTTTGGTTTGTTTTGTTTTACGGCATATCAACCTCAATGGGTCATTTAATGCCGACAACTTTTTTTTCCTGGTAATATTTTTGTTTTGTCAAAAATCCATTTCTGTTAATATTTTTTTCACAAAAATATATAGCTGGTAATATTATTTTTTCAAAAACCTATAGCTGGTAATATTTTTTTTTTCAAAAACGTATAGCTGATAATTTTTTTTTTTCAAAAACGTACAGCTGGCAACATTATTTTTCAAAAAAACTTATTATCAGAGGCCTTGTTGTTCGACGTAGTTTATCGTCTTATCCATGACGCGGATGTAGTTTATCGTCTTACCCATGACGCGGATGTAGTTTATCGTCTTACCCAGGACGCGGATGTAGTTTATCGTCTTACCCAGGATACCAAGGTCGACATTCTCTCTGTTCACCAAATAACACGTTAATACCTTGTGAAAAAAAATAATGAAGATATTCGCCTAAATTTTATGTGAAACATTGAAAACAATTTATTGCAGATTTAATTTTAAGAATTTACGAAAAACAAAAACTTGTTTTACTTAAAATAAATATTTTATAATTTTCATAACTTTCACAAGTGTATCTGAGCGTAAGTAAATATATATAACGAACTCGACTGGAATTGGAACTCGGCTCTCCGATTTCCAATCAGTTATCTATTACCCCCACCACACACCCATGTTTACAGCACCTGACATTTCCAAGCGGTCACTCATTTTGGTACTGACCAGGATCGACGATGCTTAACTTCGATGGTCGTATGAGAACCAGTGTTTCAACGTAAACCTATATATAATTTTCGCTGACAGTAATGCTGTTTGGCCAATAAATGCCGAATGTTTCCTTATAAGGAAACAGCTATACTCAACATTACCATTATGGAATTGGGATGATCGGTTAGAATTTTTTCTTACAAATCTATCATGACAGTCAAGAAATGTTGTCCTCTCTGAAGAAATTTCTCGTATAAGAAGTTATCAAAATTTGCGTTTACATCTTTTTCTTGTTATCAAAACGTTTCGACTGCTGTGCACACCGGCCTTCATCAGATGTATATCGATCCGGGTAACCTATAGGGAATATTTCACTGAAACCTGTATTTAATGTACGAGGGTAGATTGTTATTGTTCCATTACCATGTCCAGGGATATCTCATCTATTTCTTACTTTTAGTACTGCCCAGTTTTTGGTCGCTCTGTTACACACAAGTACACACTGCCTGGCCCAAGGACTGAACTCACAATTAGTCACCAAATTCTTCACAAACCAATATATATATATATATATATATATATATATATATATATATATATATGAGTCTTCGTATTTGCAGGCGTACATAATCTATCAAGTCTGGAAGATGTGCTGGGACCTACATATGGACCTACAAGATTGTCATTTACAATTTCAGCCCACAAACTAATCGTAAACTGATGCTGATGTCTAGCCTGTATTGTACCATGGGGATTCCGATCCGCCCACAAATGTTGGTTGTGTAAATTTATTATTCCATCTCTTCCAAATGTTGCCTCATCCATAAACAAGGCTGAAGAGACAAACAACGGCTCGGCAGATTGTGCAATAAACCATCGGAAAAAAGTTCACATGTGGTGAATGATCTGAGTGCGAAAGATCCTGCACACGTTGCAAAAGATACGGATACAGAAGCTGCTCTTGAAGTACACTCCAAACAGTACTATGTGATGTACGACATGCTAGGGCCACCTGACGTGCGCTGATACCTGGATCATCTGTTCTTCATGGTCAGGCGTACGAGCGGATCTCGCTCTTCCTCGATCCATAGTTTGTGACGACACGTATCCTGTGACAGCAACGCAACGATAAACAATAAAGGTTGAATGACTCTGCTGCCTTCGGTCTGGAAATGCAATCTGATACAGCCGTGCAGCCTCGCGTCCATTATCATTCTCGCTTCCTTATGTAAAAATCATCTCCTGCCATTGTTAAACGGAACACTTCTCAATGAACCCATTACGACACACGTTAAACGTTGGAGACAAATGTACAAGAATGACAAATGTAAACTTGTCTATATGGCAAAACAGTATCATATAAACGCAAATTTTCTTTAAACTTAAAAGCACAAAAACGAAGGACATATGTTTATATGGACATTAGTTCTGGTGTGTGTGTGTGTGTGTGTGTGTGTGTGTGTGTGTGAGAATGAAAAGACAAGAGGAAAACTATACATATCTTGTCTTTTCATTCATTTTGTTTCTTTTACATATATACGCCATCTGGGAATATATATACATACATACATACATACATATATATATATATATATATATATATAGAAAAAGTTTCAAATTAAAAATTATAATGTTTTATTTTATGAAAGTATTTATTTATTTATATATATATTTGATATTTCAAATTGTCCTCAATTTTTCATCAGAAATAACTGTTTGTTACAAATAAATTAAAATTACTGTTTGTTGGCAAGTAGCGTCCTTCGAGAGACGCGGACGTCACGTGATATGGAACGTCACTGTTCAGATATTCCTAACTTAAATCTAACTGTCATAAATATTTTAAAAAATATTTTTTACTATATCTAAAGAAATTGCTTAGCTATTGAAATATTTATAAAGATTTAAAACACCTAAGTCCCTATTCAACCCTAATTTATGTGTATTTAATTTTAAAATCCAATATGTTTCTTTTTTTGCGTGTGAATGTGGAAGTAAAATCGGAATCTATTAATAAACATTTGTGTGTCCTGATTGATTTTGTTTAGCTAATAAGTTGTTTTGACGTATTGTTTGTTTATGGTTATTAAAACCCAGACTCACCAATATATCCACTATTAGGACATAGTGTTGCAGAATAAATAATAGATTACGTTATGGGGAAGGTTAGGTGGCTGTTCCTTTTGACGTATTGTTTGTTTAAACTAAGGAGGTTTGTTAAAATTTCCTGTTTAAAGATATTTGGTAGAGGTGAGGGATAGCTGAAAATTTGTTTCATTGCATTTATGGGTGGTTTATCAATGTCTTTGATCTTGTTGTCTAATTGGAGTTCTTGTAATCATTTTTAAATTGTGAATAAGTGTGTGGGAATATTGATTGTGGTTAAAAACCATGGGAATCCGATTGTTGTTTTATTTTTCTTGTATGTGAAAGTGTGTTACGATTTATCAGGATAGTTTTTTATTTAGTGCTTCTTTTATTATTTTTTTATTGGGTATTTGCATTTTAGGAATTGTTTTGTTAAGTTATTAATATTGTATAGAAAATCTAAATGGTCTGAGCATATGCGTTTGGTTCTAGAAATGAGCTGTATACAATAGATTTTTTAATTTAAAGGGATGACAGCTGTTAAAGTGCAGAATTTATTTGGTTTTGTGGGTTTGTTGTATAGACTGGTAAAATGTATGTTTGTTTAATTTTATCATAACGTCTAAATGGATTTGCTCCAAAATTTAATTGTATCAAATTGTTGCGAAAGGTTTTTAATTTTTTCTGTCCATGAGTTCATTTGAAAATGTCATCAATATATCTAAAGTTTGATGGTTTATATTGTTTAGTATCTTTGCAATGAAACAATCACCTTTATCAGCTATCCTCACCTCTACCAAATATCTAAACAATAGAAACCAAACAGGAAATTACAAATGTAACAAACCTCGTTGCTTAGTTTGCCAAACATTTAGTAATAGCTAACATTTTACGTACCCAACACCAATATCAGGATACAGCCACCCAACCTCACCTGCGATACCCATAACGTAATCTATTATTTATTCTGCAACCTATGTCCTAATAGTGGATATATTGGTGAGTCTGGAAACAATTTTAGATTTCGTTTTAATAACCATAAACAAACAATACGTCAAAACAACCCTTATTCCCCCATAGCTAAACACTACAATCAATCAGGACACACATTAGAAAACTGCAAATGTTTATTAATAGATTCCGATTTTACTTCCACATTCACACGCAGAAAAAAAGAAACATATTGGATTTTAAAATTAAATACACATAAATTAGGGTTGAATAGGGACTTAGGTGTTTTAAATCTTTATAAATATTTCAATAGCTAAGCAATTTCTTTAGATATAGTAAAAAAATATTTTTAAAAATATTTATGACAGATTTAAGTTAGGAATATCTGAACAGTGACGTTCCATATCACGTGACGTCCGCGTCTCTCGAAGGACGCTACTTGCCAACAAACAGTAATTTTAATTTATTTGTAACAAACAGTTATTTCTGATGAAAATTGAGGACAATTTGAAATATCAAATATATATATAAATAAATAAATACTTTCATAAAATAAAACATTATAATTTTTAATTTGAAACTTTTTCTATATATACATATTAAGAAAGTATACGTGGCTTCTCATTATGCTATATATATATATATATATATATATATATAGAAGAAGAAGAAGAAGAAGAAGAAGAAGAAGAATTGACTATATATATATTCAAAAAAATTGTTGTATTTACAGTAATGCTTGACGGAGATAGAGAGGGACAAATACAGCTCGCCTAGCAACCGCTAACTTAGCCTAGCAACGGCTATCCTAGTCTGCAATATCGAAGATTAACTTTATCACTTAATCTTTAATTTTTTTTTAAACATTTACATTTTATCCATTACCGTAAAAACTTTTTAAAAGTTTTTAAAAATGGTATAATTTTTCATTTATCGTCGGTTTAGAACGCTCATACACTCCCGCCAAATGCATTATTCGTACGTCTTCCTTGTGTTTTTTTTTTTACCTCAAGCGAAATCATACGTTTCAGCATTTCGCCACTGTTCTGTAGACTTACCCAAGGTGTAAACACAACACAACACAACACATCACAACACAACAGAGATACTTCCAGAGTGAGGTGAACACGTGTACTGCAAGTAGAGATACTCTCGAAGCTTAGTGATCGCTGCGCCAACTAGTGGACGCTGAACTGAAACTAGCTCATCTCTCAAAGTTCATTTCGGATCTTAGGGCAAAAAATCGGCCGAACTCCGGCTCTCTAAAATCTCGTATGTCGGAACGTTCGTCTCTCAAGGCATTACTGTATATATATATATATATATATATATATATATATATATATATATATATATATATATATAAAACTAGTGAACCAGAACCCCAGAACCTACCTACTACGGTTTCACCTAACGGATCTACCGGGTACTACTTGCTAGAGGGTACCCTGAAGATCCGTTAGGTGAAACCTTGGAAGGTAGATTTTGACTTACGAGGTTTTTTTTAGATTTTGCTCTACTTAGTGTATTGATCACTTTTACGTTTTTACTTTATATACTTTGTCGGTGTTTTTTTTTTTCCTTTTGACTAGGCATTGCAGTACTGATTGATTATTTTCGACTAACACGGATGGATTTAGTCGTTTCTATTTTGCTGAATTTTTTCCCCTGATATCGGTTTGTTCAAATGTATTTTTTTTACAAATTGTATTATCCGCGTTTTTTTCACATCACCCAAGTATAGTTATTAAAATAATACACACACACACACACACACACACACACACACACACACACACACACACACACATATATACATATATATATATTCTAAAGGATTCATGTATTTTGAATCAGACATGTTTATTACTTGCAACGTTATTGTTAGTGGATACCCATAGCTGCCCACGCGAGAATAAGTGCTCTCTGGCAGAATTCCAAAATGCGTCCCTCTTTGTCGGAAAATCTACCATCTCATCTGAGGTTCCCACTGTGGCCGAGCGGTCTAATATTAATACGTTGTATTTA